TCTCACCTCCGTCTCGAGAAAAAGAAGACGAAAGAGATGAAGAAATATTAGGGTTTGTGTCGAATGATTTGGGAATTCAGATTTTAAGTTTTTCATTAAGTTTTAGAGTCACAAAAGCGTCGTTAATGCGTCGCAAAACATTTCGTTTGGTGGCAAAATAAGCCCGCCTAAATGGCCCAAAAAGTTTCCCGAAAAAGCCCAAAATTTGAGTTTGGAGCCAAAAAAAGCGTGGTTATATAGTCGTAAAAGCGTCACTTATTTGTGTCGCTTTTGTGACTTTTTTGAGACGCTGTAAAACAATACCCTAAACCCTTAACATTTATGACCAATAGATTGTGGTTTTCTCCTTCCTATTCAACTTCTAATATATTATTAACCATTTCATTGCTTATGTAGTTTGAAATCTCACATATAAAGTTTAATTTTACAAAATCTAACACTTAACCACAAACTATATTAAACTTCTAAGTATTTTACTTTTAGAAATGTGATCTCAATAACTGTAAACTGAATTTGAATTTGACCTTCAGTAAATTAAACTTTTTATGACTTATTTAGTTTATAACAATGTAATTACATACCAATAAATTCTATATACTTCAAATATGTTGTTAAATTTCCAAAATTCTTAGGCGGAGTTGGAAAAGTGTCACTAATGAGTCACTATTGTTCTTAGCTGTCATAGTTTAGTCGCAAAAACATCACGTATTTGTGTCTCTTTTATGACTTTTTGCGATGCTTGAAAACAATACCCTAAACCCTAAGCATTTAGGATCAATAGATTGTGGTTTTCTCCTTTCTATTCAACTTCTAATGTATTATTAACCATTTCATTGCTTATGTAGTTTGAAATCTCACATATCAAGTTTAATTTAACAAAATCTAACACTTAACCACAAACTARATTYAACTTKTAAGTATTTTAGTTTTAGAAATGTYATCTCATTAATTGTAAACTGAATTTGAATTTGACCTTCCATAAATTAAAATTTTTAAGACTAATTTAGTGTATAACAATGTAATTACATACCAATAAATTGTATATACTTTAAATATGTTGTTAAATTTCCAAATTTCTTAGGCGGAGTTGGAAAATAGTCACTAATGAGTCGCTGTTGTTCTTTAGTGTCGCAGTTTATTCGGAAAAGCGTCACTTATTTGTGACTACTTTGTCACTGGACGTAAGGAAGGAAAAAAAAGGATTGTTCGGGCGACGGTTTGAACTGGAGTCCTCTAATGCTGTTATTCAATCGGAAACCATTGGGCTATTGTAGCCAATGGTTTTTTTTATCACAATATTTGTTATATATTTTGAGAAAATTTATCTTTATTAATAAAAATTGTATTTATCCTACATTTTAGCTGAAAAAGAAAACAATTGTTGGGACTAAATGTCAGATGGGAGAGTACAATGTCAGTGCGTTTGACCATTGTGCTATTGTAACGTATTCGTTAAGTGCTAACAATAAAATATATTTATCCCTAAAGTTAGCTGAAAACAAAAAAATGTGTTCCTACCTAGATTCGAACTCAGGAATGAGAAGGTATGTATTCTAAATTTAAACCATTGTGCTATTGTAACGTATTTGTTAAGTGCTAATATTAAAATCTATTTATCCTTACATGGTAGCTGAAAATAAAAACAAATGCATTGTTCCTTGGTATTGAACTCCAGATGTGGAGGTTTTGTATTTCCGGGTTAAACCATTGTGCTATTGTAACATATTTAGAATACTATGTGAAAAAATATATATTTATATTAGTATATGGCACAAAACTTATTATTATGATATATTAATATATGGCACAACACATTAATACACACTTAAAACATGAATACAAGATCCAAGACATATATTAAGAGATTTTGTTCATTTTTCATAGTTCACTTTTGTCTTTTTGTTGTCGACATGATATTTATGACTCTTTCCTGGTAGGTCCTAATATGTGACTGATGTTGTCGCAATTAAACAGTCGCAAATGTATGACTCTTTTACGCTGTCGCAACTTTGTGACTACTTTACGACGCCATATAAAACTTTCA